AAGCTGTAAATTACCTTCAATGTTTTGTAAACAACTTCCTGTATATCTTTGCTGCAATCACACTGACTTCTTTGGGGAAAATTAAAATGTTTTTGGCAAGATTTTTGTGATAACAAATTTCAAAAGTTTCTTCCTTGTTAATTGTTCAGATGTTTATGCAGGTACATAATATTTCCGGTGTTGAAAATGTACGAATCTGAAGACATCCTTTTTTTCTATTGGAAATAGAACCAGCTTTCAATCTTGTATGATAAAACATTATTTTTTTGCTCCTTGATCCCATCCCTTGTAAATATACTGTGAACAGGATAATACACATATTCCAGGTTAATGACACTTTAATTATGACATGCTTATCACATTTCCATTTAGTTTTTCCCAATAAAAAAATTGATTACTCTCAAAATATTTATAAAAGTCTCAGAGCTTGTGAACATTACACCAATGAGAGAAAACAAGAAAATAAAATCCAGCAAAAATATCTGTGTTTTGCTATTTATTGTACATGTACAATTGATGTACATTGATGAAAAATCTGAATAAAAAGAAAATTAAAAAAAAAAAAATTCTGTGTTTACAGTAAGGATCCCCACAACACTGCCAAACACTGTAGGGGTGAATTGGAAATGACCATAGCTTTGATAAATCATTACTGAAAGGAAAGCCATATAACTGGCAGGACTTTTATGAAAGAAAAATAAAGATGAAATAAACAAAATATAAAAAATAAAAATTGTTCTGAGTGTAAAAGTTCTTTGGGGCTAGACAAGGATCTCGACCCTAGACCTGTGCTTATTTTACTGTCGCTCTGACCAACTGAACAACCTGGTCAGAGGCAAAGGTCTAGATCTGGCCATGTTCTACAGTTATATCCAAAATGAAAGGGAGGTAACTGTCAAAATGTTAGTTGCTTCTGAATGTTACACAGGTATCTCAGCCTTGCTGTTTACCTATAATGACTTTTACCTAGACTTCAGAGTCTTACACAGGTATCTCAGCCTTCCTGTGTACCTATAATGCCTTTTACCTAGACTAGGGAGTATCCAGGTATCTCAGCCTTGCTGTGTACCTATAGTGACTTTTACCTAGACTAGGGAGTATTACACAGGTATCTCAGCCTTCCTGTGTACCTATAATGCCTTTTACCTAGACTAGGGAGTATGCAGGTATCTCAGCCTTGCTGTGTACCTATAATGACTTTTACCTAGACTTTAGAGTCTTACACAGGTATCTCAGCCTTGCTGTGTACCTATAATGCCTTTTACCTAGACTAGGGAGAATGCAGGGATCTCAGCCTTGCTGTGTACCTATAATGACTTTTACCTAGACTTCAGAGTCTTACGCAGGTATCTTAGCCTTCCTGTGTACCTATAATGCCTTTTACCTAGACTAGGGAGTATGCAGGTATCTCAGCCTTGCTGTGTACCTATAATGACTTGTACCTAGATTTCATAGTCTTACCCAGGTATCTCAGCCTTGCTGTGTACCTATAATGCCTTTTACCTAGACTAGGGAGTATACAGGTATCTCAGCCTTGCTGTGTACCAATAATGATTTTTACCTAGATTTTATAGTCTTACCCAGGTATCTCAGCCTTGCTGTATACCTATAATGACTTTTACCTAGACTTCAGAGTCTTACGCAGGTATCTTAGCCTTCCTGTGTACCTATACTGACTTTTACCTAGACTTCAGAGTCTTACACAGGTGTCTCAGCCTTCCTGTGTACCTATAATGACTTTTACCTAGACTTCAGGGACTAACACAGGTATCTCCGCCTTCCTGTGTACCTATAATGACTTTTACCTAGACTTCAGAGTCTTACACAGGTGTCTCAGCCTTCCTGTATACCTATAATGACTTTTACCTAGACTTGAGAGTCTTACGCAGGTATCTTAGCCTTCCTGTGTACCTATAATGACTTTTACCTAGACTTCAGAGACTTACACAGGTATCTCAGCCTTGCTGTGTACCTAAAATGAATTTTACCTAGACTTTAGAGTCTTACACAGGTATCTTAGCCTTGCTGTGTACCTATAATGACTTTTACCTAGACTTCAGAGTCTTTCACAGGTATCTTAGCCTTGCTGTGTACCTATAATGACTTTTACCTACACTTCAGAGTCTTACACAGGTATCTCAGCCTTGCTGTGTACCTATAATGACTTTTACCTAGACTAGGGAGTATGCAAGAATCTTTGCCTTCCTGTGTACCTATAATGACTTTTACCTAGACTTCAGAGTCTTACACAGGTATCTCAGCCTTGCTGTGTACCTATAATGACTTTTACCTAGACTAGGGAGTACTCAAGTATCTTAACCTTCCTGTGTACCTATAATGACTTTTACCTAGACTTCAGAGTCCTACACAGGTATTTCAGCCTTGCTGTGTACCTATAATGACTTTTACCTAGACTTCAGAGTCTTACACAGGTATCTCAGCTTTGCTGTGTACCTATAATGACTTTCACCTAGACTTCAGAGTCCTACACAGGGATTTCAGCCTTGCTGTGTACCTATAATGTCTTTTACCTAGACTAGGGAGTATGCAAGAATCTTTGCCTTCCTGTGTACCTAAAATGACTTTTACCTAGACTTCAGAGTCTTACACAGGTATTTCAGCCTTGCTGTGTGACTATAATGACTTTTACTTATACTTCAGAGTCTTACACAGGTATCTCAGCTTTGCTGTGTACCTATAATGACTTTTACCTAGACTTCAGAGTCTTACACAGGTATCTCAGCCTTGCTGTGTACCTATAATGACTTTTACCTAGACTTCAGATTCTTACACAGGTATCTTAGCCTTCCTGTGTACCTATACTGACTTTTACCTAGACTTCAGAGTCTTACACAGGTATCTCCGCCTTGCTGTGTACCTATAATGACTTTTACCTAGACTTTAGAGTCTTGCGCAGGTATCTCAGTCTTGCTGTGTACCTATAATGACTTTTACTTAGACTTCAGAGGCTTACACAGGTATCTCAGCTTTGCTGTGTACCTACAATGACTTTTACCTAGACTAGGGAGTACGCAGGTATTTTAGCCTTCCTGTGTACCTATAATGACTTTTACTTAGACTTCAGAGGCTTACACAGGTATCTCAGCTTTGCTGTGTACCTATAATGACTTTTACCTAGACTTCAGAGTCTAACACAGGTATCTCAGCCTTCCTGTGTACCTACAATGACTTTTACCTAGACTAGGGAGTACGCAGGTATTTTAGCCTTCCTGTGTACCTATAATGACTTTTACCTAGACTAGGGAGTACGCAGGTATCTTAGCCTTCCTGTGTACCTATAATGACTTTTACTTAGACTTCAGAGTCTTACACAGGTATCTTAGCCTTGCTGTGTACCTATAATGACTTTTACCTAGACTTCAGAGACTTACACAGGTATCTCAGCTTTCCTGTGTACCTATAATGACTTTTACCTAGACTTCAGAGTCTTACACAGGTATCTCAGCCTTGCTGTGTACCTATAATGACTTTTACCCAGACTGCAGAGTCTTACACAGGTGTCTCAGCCTTGCTGTGTTTCTATAATGACGTTTACCTGATCAGGTGTAATAAGGCCATTCACCTTGCGGTGAGAGGTTGATGGTGATTTGGCTGGAATGTAAGTTGTTCTGGGCTAACTGGGTATCATGTTGTTTGCAAAACATGGCTCCAATCACACACAAACAACATGTAGATTTCTCAAAAATTGGTTTCCACTAGTTTGTATGGATAAAGGTGTAGCTAGCTTCTAGAGTGTTGCCCAGATTCTCCACAAAGTGACTGTTCTGATTTATATGTCGCTGAAAGGGTTGTTAAATTTGTAAGAGATGTAAGAATAAATGGTAGCGACATGTATAATAAGAGTGAAGCCAAGGTCATTGATATCCAAATTTGATAACATACTGTATGAAAAGTTGACAATTTGAAGTTTGTATCAGATGACAAATAGCTGAACAGAAACATTTTCTTTCTACCATTTTGCCACAGGAACGTGAAATCCTACATCCAGGAGGACAACTCTTTTGAAATAAAACATTAATTTAATGAACATTCTTGCTGGTGAAAATTCAGTACTTGAAAAAAGTTAATTGTTTTCATTTCAGCAAATTCCTTGAAGCATATTTAGATTAATGTGACATCATCACTTTCTATTGGAATAATCTGTGATAGTCCAGAGAAAAGAAACTGTCTGGAAAAAGTAAAGAATTCCATCAGATCAGTAAATAATATCACTGCAATAATGAGCGGGAGATTGGAAGGGTTTTGTCAGAACACATGTCTATCTTAAGAAAATGGTGCTGGTTTCAGAGCGGCCAAAGGTCACAGTAAACTTATGCGATGGTATCTATGGCATAAGTTGTCCTTCCATCTACCATCTGCTTTTTACATTTGTCAAGTACCTAATTGCTGGTATGTAGTGCTATCAAAATGACATCAACCACTTATACAGTGTATAAAAACTTCTTCAAAAAGCTTCTTCTAAAGAACCATGAGGCCTAGAGTGATCATATTTAGCCTCTAGCTTTCTAGATCATGAAGTGATATCAGGGTTATCAAAATAATCTTCTTGACCCACTTTCAAAGTCACTGTGGTCAAATGCATTAAAAACTTCAATAACTCCTTTTAAAGAACGATAATGCTTAGAATGATAATATTTTACCGACATTTTGTTTGACTAACTTTGAAGATAACAGAACAAAACTCTAATGGCTTTGCTGAGATACCATAATATATTGCCATGTCCATTCGTCTTTTTAGAATAATATGAAAATCTGAATGCTCATTAATAATATTTCATCTTTGTCCTCTTCTCAGCATGTGAGCTAGTTATCATGCATGGGTAAGAAATTTATGAATGAAAAGCAGATGAACAGTATTTCTCCAAAAAAAAATCAAAAATGAATTCAGCATGATTGATCAAGCTGTGTTCGTTAAATTAAAGGGCTATTGATGATAAGTAACTTTACCTATCCTGACGATTGACCTTGCTATATTTCAGAGTGCTGTGGTTGATGACCAGAATGCTGACCTGCTGAGATCAATGCTGTTTACACCCCTCCTGGTGGTCCATGTGATAGAGATCTCACTTATCTCCCTTGGCTGTCTCGTCCTGGTAGGAACAGTCATCTACGGATTGTGCATACAGCAAAGTAGAAGAAAGGTATTTGTTTAAATCTGGATTATCTCCCTTGATTGTCATGAGGCTGTCATGTTAACAGTTCACAACAAAACAAACCAATTGAAATCCAACATCCGTGTTCCATTAGTTCAACACCTAGTGAATGGAGACATGTTAACATCGCATGGGAAATTACTGATGTGTGGGTGTGGTCCCGTCAACTATACTTTGAATTACACAACAACAATACGTATAGTCAAACATCAATTGTACCAGCTTGAAAATAGTAAATATAGACAGGTAGTGATACCCAAAGTTTGTCAGGAGGTGGAGCACTATAGAATGTTTACAATACTATGACTTGTTTCAGACTGTTGAAAACCAAATATTTTTACAAGCAACATTTTTCATGATTGCGAAATGTGGGGGGAAAAAATGTTTCTCAGAGTGATGTGAATTTATTTGACTTGAATAAAAGATATTTTTAGAAATGATGAATATCTTAAAGTTAAAATAACTTCTTTTATAGCAGTCCTGAATTACAAATAGATATACCATATTGCTAGAAAACAGATAGCAGACCTCCACATATGGACAGGGTTTGTTAGTAACAATAAGGGAACCTAGCCACCACCCTTTCTCATCCCATCAGCAGCCTGTTATCTAGTTAGCTTACAGGTTGCTTTGATATCCTTGTAGAATTTTACATCCTCTACATTTGGTGAATGTCCACAAAAACTGAAAGACAATACAAAAGAAACAAAAAAGTGAATAACAATATTTTATACAAAATAAACAAAGAAATATATAGATTTACTGTGATTCGGTGTCAAATTTATGTCAGGTAGTTGTGTTTTAACCCGAGTCAAAACAGGAGCTTGTTTTATATCAAGTGTCAATCATTCATATATTATAATTGAAATTCAGTCATTATCATGAGAATTTTATCATTACAGGGAATAATTTATTATGAGGAATTTTGGTTCATAGAAATTCCCATTTAATGTATACAAGCAGCGTCACACTTTTAAGAGCTCTGATAGTTCAATTACTCTCTTTTATTCCAGTCGCTTTTTTGGTCTCATAGGAGCTTTTCAGCATTAGTGCTCAATATTGGAAAACTTTGTTTATCTCAAAGTTTCTTCATGGTTCCAAAATTATTTTTTTGTCATTTTACTGACAATTGAAATTTGTTCATTTTTGTGACGACTGCATCTCAAAGTTTGTTCTTGTGTCTGACATCTACATCTCAAAGTTTGTTCTTGTGTCTGACTACTACATCTTAAAGTTTGTTCTTGTGTCTGACTACTACATCTCAAAGTTTGTTCTTGTGTCTGACTACTACATCTCAAAGTTTATTTAAGATACTTAAGAATTCGACTCGGTTCTACTGTACATGTCATTAGAAGGATATTAATGTCTACCAGAAGTTAGGGACATTAGTGGTAGGAGGGTGTTACAGGTTGATGGTCGACTCTGGGTACGAAATCAGAAGCACATGTTGCGGTGGTTTATACAGAATACAATGTATCTATACACCGTTATTACATAACATGTAACATCGGGGTTCCTCTTTACACAAAACAGTTGGCCTTGTTCATAGCACTCATCTCCACATTATACAATGTAATAAAAAAGGTCTTTTTTAAAGGTTTGATAGCATTTTCTTGGTCTTAGATTACAGCTATGAACTTCACCGTGTGATGAACTTAACCTATTCAATAGACATTAATTGATTGGTCTACGAGAACCTGTCACTGGCTTTACTTTCCTCTTAAAGTCAAAGTTATAAACTTCGTCTACTTTTGTCATAATGTCACAGTTATAAACTCCCCAAACTGCAGTAAAGCAAGCTCTGTTTGTTTGGTGACCTTTTCTATCACAAACCTCTTGTTATAGATAGTAGCTTTTATCCCTTCACCCCTATGTTACTTTAGTAAACTCTACCATGCATTGATCTGGATGAGTCCATTATGGTCCACAGTGGTGAAACGGTTAACTTCACATCCCAGCAAAATGAAACTTTAATACCGAATCACCCTTCATTAGATAATTCACTCTATATAATTTTTTCCTGGGAAATGTTATTAGGTATTGTTTCTTTCTGAGTGCCATCAGTCATACCCTAGGGGTAATTATTGACAGAGAAATCATACCCGGGTACCATGGGGGGTGACAGAAAATTTCTTGAACAGGTAAAAAGGGAGACAATTCAGTCAAAGGTGTAATAATCCATTTTCACTCAGTGGTTTCATACTACAAAATTTAAAGCTGAGTAAAAGTCAATTACTACAGGCAACATCAAAGTGAGATATAGTACAACATTAGAATACCTTAGTAGCTTATCCTATTGATCATCCTATCCTAAGGCCGGAGGTCATGCACTCTGTTCTTGGCTAGGTGATACAAAATAAAATAAAGAAATGTATTGAAGAGCAGAACGTTTGTGAGATGGAGAATCAAAATGGCTTTGCGATGACTCTTGTTTGCACATACAAAAGAAACCTCGTCAGACATGAGTTTCTCTAATGATAATCCAACTGTATTGTAGAGACAAACAGACTAACACATGTCGGTGGAAGTAATTAGTGTTATAGGCAAGGTCATAGGTGGGTTAATTTATAATTTTCTCATCAGTACATGTCAGTATGGTGAGATACACAGTAGGCAGTTGGCCTCATCATTGTCAAAGCTTTATTGCTTTATCGTAGTGGGGATGACTATGAGACGAGACCTTGGCATGCCTGCTTGGCCTGATGTTGATACTCAAGCATACCCCCTCAACCGCTGATACACACTGGCTTTATGACAATGCTGTGTCTGTAGTTGACTACAACATGCTGATAGACCTGTGTGTACCATTTAACATTTGTACCCTGCTGTACCCTTGTTGATTGTACATGTCATCTTTCTATCATATAATGGAACTCCTACATGACAAATTGTGACATCAGTTTAGTGTGACTGTTCCAGTCCATAATAACTTTGAAATGAGAGATGGCTTTTAATGCCGCTTCTTCTAAGTAGAAGGAGCATTGATTGTTCGTTTTCCCAATGGTCCATCTGACATACAACTGTTCATCATAGTTGAATGTTGCCTGTAGCATCACCACTCTGATACTAGAAGTCCAGCAGTTATCAAACTTCTAACGTGAATACATCTGGAGAAGGATATCAAATGTAGGTCACTGTGACCTATACATTCTGCTTCATTGACCTTAATTGGACTCGGATTTGCCATTTAACTCCTCTTCGTTGGTCAGATTTTGCATTATTTTCATTTCAGTCAACCAAGAGTGTTTTACAAATCTACCGGTAGTCCACAAAGTCCAGTTTTACATGATAGTCTGCAGTCATTTAAGTACACACCCAAAAGTTACCCCCTTTGGAGGCTTGACTCTCCCTCAGAAAGCCTAAGCAATAATCAATGTGATTTCCTCATCTGTTGAACTGGGCACGTTCAACAAAGCTAGTAGGTGTGACAGATAAAGGAATGTCTTCAGCAGTGGTTTGATTTGGTTTGCACGATGATCTGGTTATACAAAGGGCTATGTCTGTATTGTTACATGGAGCCTGGCCACTGTCTAACATGCATTAAGGCTTGGTTTATACCTAGATACACTAGCACCATACACATTCTACCCTATACTATCCCACAGGAAGCGTCTGCTTCATTCATTGAAGTACCGGTAATCAGCATCACATGGATGTTTTGTTCTCTGTCTAAGTGATGCATTAGCAAGCATCAGATATACTTTGATCATTTAGACCGTAATAGGTAGAATATGTTTCTCATAAATCTGCATGAAGGGAAGGAAAGATATTTAAAATGTGTTTCATTTGAAGAAACATAACATATCTAACTGATTGTCAAAATAATAAAGTTAGGATAGAAGGTAATGGAAGGTATTTCATTGGTGATGTAAATCTCCTGATGTTTTCTATCTGTAAACAGTTTATTTTTACATGCAGCATGCTTCCTCAGCATGTTTATGGTATTGGCCCCTGGTAACCATCGACAACTCAGCCCCAATTGTATCAAAGTGATGAAGTCTGCCAGTGATGTAAGTTAAATCTCAAAACAGATCTAGGCTACGCAAGTTAAGTTCAGATTAATATGAAACTCCGGTGGTCACCTACCAGTTTATCGGTAACAAAATCAGACAAAATTTGGATAGTTTTTTTAAAAAATGCAGCGAATGAAAAAGCATGGAGTTAAATGTGAGTTTTATGTGGTATCGTATTTTATTACTTACAGATTATGTGGAGATTTGAACATAGATGTCAGAAAATTGAGATTTGAAATGATGAGTCAGAATTAGTCATTTATAAATACAGCTAAATACAGTAACAGTCAGCAGCAGAGGAAAATGTCTATGGCTTAATAATATTAGAAGTTAATATCTACTAGTCAGTTATTATAAGAATGAGTAAAATGTCTATGGCTTAATAATATTAGAAGTTAATATCTACTAGTCAGTTATTATAAGAATGAGTAAAATGTCTGTGACACAATAATATTAGAAGTTAATATCTACTAGTCAGTTATTATAAGAATAAATAAAATGTCGGTGACACAATAATATTAGAAGTTAATATCTACTAGTCAGTTATCATAAGAATGAGTAAAATGTCGGTGACACAATACTATTAGAAGTTAATATCTACCAGTCAGTTATTATAAGAATAAATAAAATGTCGGTGACACAATAATATTAGAAGTTAATATCTACTAGTCAGTTATTATAAGAATGAGTAAAATGTCGGTGACACAATACTATTAGAAGTTAATATCTACTAGTCAGTTATTATAAGAATAAATAAAATGTCGGTGACACAATAATATTAGAAGTTAATATCTACTAGTCAGTTATCATAAGAATGAGTAAAATGTCGGTGACACAATACTATTAGAAGTTAATATCTACCAGTCAGTTATTATAAGAATAAATAAAATGTCGGTGACACAATAATATTAGAAGTTAATATCTACTAGTCAGTTATTATAAGAATGAGTAAAATGTCGGTGACACAATACTATT